TCATTATGAACTAAGAGAAAAAGAACCAACAAACGGAAACCACAGACATGCAGAATTGAACTTAGACACCCTGGATAGCATGCCAGGGCATTGATTTGATTCCTTGGCCTACTTCTTTCCCCATACATCCATGTACCACCACCAGGAGTACTTGCAGTCTCTGTGGGGAATTGTGATAGATACTGACATGGCCGTCTGCCTTGTTCTTCCCATGAATGATTTGTTCAGCAAACTAGACATCTGTTGATGCTTTAATTGGAGCAACAACAACTGCAGTGCGGCCTTAACCAAACGTCAAAAGCTGGTGTGTGTCTTTCGGACTCCGGACTGTTGTTTTTGTGTAGCAAACAAAAAGGACATGATAGACAAGTTCCACGAGAAACATTCAGCGCCCTGAAGGAGTCTGTCGAAAGTGTGGAACATGGAAACACTATGAAACACTATATAGTAAATTTATTGATGGATGTTCCCTTCTCCATGCCCTGTGGTCGTGATGATGATGACGACAACCATTTGGGGAACAATTAATATCAAACGCGGCAGTAACGAACAAATATGGACCTGTTGGCAAACCACAAATAGAAGGGAGCAAGGCTACCTCACTCAGTAGCACTGATGGGCAAAACTATATAAACTCCCGCACCTTCTCTGGAATCGAGTTCATGCAAATACTAATCCATGAAGAGATTCGCATGCTTTCCGTGGCTCCTACAGATTGAGTCCATCAACAGTATAGCCGTATAGCGATTACTAGTGCTCGCTCTCAACAGCTCAGAGAAGGGGAGGCCACTGAGGAGAGATCCCTTGTCGAACACCCTTCAAAATGCCTGGCCCACAGCCAGATACAGCCAAGCTTCTATCAAAGACTGCTACACGGCCCCCATCCAATGCATCCATCCAATGGATGTTCTCAGTCTCTGTGGTACGTCATAAGAATCATAGGAGTCTTTCTTGGGAGACTGTATTCAAGCAGGGTGAATATTGAGGAACCTGGACACCTAGATGTTTTGAACCCGGAAGGAGGCTACCTGTGTGGTTTGTGTGGTCCCTCCATGAAGAAATACACGGTTTCGTGGAGTCCACCCCGGTTTGTAGAGGGCCATGGCCATCCACGTCACCATAAATTGTTGGAGAGTGAGGTGCCTGGTGGTATTAGGGGTACCACACAAATCCTAGTCCTTCACCTAACTTGTGTAATCAATTGATAACCGTTCTTGAGCTATGTGTATCGGGCAGTTCCTGAAAGACCAGGAACTGCCTTCCAAACGGCCCATTCCGCGGTTCGGGGTCACACTTTCCAACCCGGAATGCTTCAGCGTAGTGTCCAGGACCAGTTCTGGATGTTCAGGGCTGACATCATCTCTCAAACGTATGACCATGACTGTTAAAATGTAGACGCGTGACTCATGTAATAATATACCCCACATTCGGATTAAAACACCTCTTCGCAAGGGGGGTTTACCAATCAAGAGTCTAGAGTCTAGATTGATCTAGATTATATCATTGACTCGTTCACATGGAACTGCTGCAGGACCGCCGAAATCTGCGAGTTACGCCTTCAGGCGGAACTGTCGACCGGAAACCAAACATCTGACCATGACACAAGTGCACCAAAGGCACAAACGACCTGGATACTCTACTATTGTCAGGTGTAAAGTGAATGGAAGAGTATGATGGACAACCCACCGACAGGTGCAACTTGAACCATCTTAAAAACAAAAAACAAGACATGAGGCAACACTTGTAGGCAACCTTGGATCTGTCACTCTTTTTGGGCGCCATGATGTGCCATGTGACTCTTGTTCCGACTCGCCATGTTGTGACTGCATGAGGCTCGATTCTGACTGCATGTGTGTGTGTGTGCGTGTTCCTGTTCCTTTTTGAATATATGCATGTTTGGCCTCCAGTGTAACAAGTTTGCGCAGGTGCAAATAATGGTATATAATTGCTGTCAATGCAATCGGGTTCAGGCTCTTGTGATGCAAAAATACATTGTATTTCAGCACATGAACACACCCAGGGAAACACCACCGGAACACAAGCAACTTGCATGCAATGAAGATTCGCGGGGATTCCGCGATATCCTCTATCCCCTAGGGGTCCAACAAACTCCTGAGAAGATGGTTGGGGTGGGTTTGGGGGTTCTAATCACCTTCTGAGGATATGGTTGGAGCCCTAGGGATTATTAACATATTCATACCTGTATTCATCCGGGTTAACCACCCCAATCTATGCAAATCTTCCGTGCATGGAGTGCGTCGTGCCTGGGATAGGACTAGCCAACCACACCATTGATTGGGTGGCATTGGGTGGCAAAGGCGCATGGCTTCTGAGCGCAAGGGCAATCCCAAAACCCACTGGTGAAGAGAACACACATTTGGATTTGACTGAGGAACCGGGGGAAGGGTAAACACGAAAAATAACTCATGTTTTTGAAGGGTCCCGTGCTCCACTTCCCAGTCTTGGGGGTCTTACTTTTTGAGCCACTTCCCTCAGGTTGCCGTGCTCCAACTGCCATTGTCCCAATGTAGTTTAATACAGCACGATATACATATAGTAGTAGTGTCCGGGCAGGTCAGGAGTGATAGGTCAGGAGAGGGAAAACCACCATTTTCCTTTGTGTTCAATGCTGCAGTTCCGACCCCAACGGTAGACTTCCCTACCGCGCGCTTAGCTGGACAACTCTCTCAACTGCCAGAGGCCTTTCTTTTGGAGGCTCTCGATTTTAGAGTGCTTGCCAACTCCCGAAACGACTGCCAGTCTATGTGGTTCTGCTAGACCATGTATCCACCTTTTTGGTCCAAACGAGAGACGATGGGCACATGGGAGGTGGCCTCAATGCATTGAATACCTCAAGTTCCTAAATGCAGGGGTCGCTCACGGCGAAAAAAAAGGGGCCGGATCTGAATATCATGATAGCACTAAGACATCTGAAGTGAACAAAACCCACCATGCCAAGTCGAGCTGGTTTTGAATACTTGTCCGTTAAAAGTCGACATCTCACAATGATCGGTTCACGCAAGACGGCGGGCAGCCTAGCGCTCCACGATTCAAATTTGAAGTCAGAAGTTGGCAAGCAAAAAAAACACATTCTGGTCGCAGGGGGCTCGAGGGGCGTGTTGAATGAGTGGAGCCAACTACTCTTCGTCTGCAAAGAAGGCGTGTGACAGGTGCTAAGACAATCACCTACGACTGTCATTCCCGCACGTGCTTGATGGGTCTGCACATCTCTCCACATAGCCTGAAGAAAAGATGTTGCATATATATATATATATCAATATAAGTGATGTCCTTTTGAGAATAATAGAGGGGTTGATTTAGCAATATATACCATATACCCATTGGTAGCTCACCTGGGAGGTATCCCCTCTGTTCATCAACCAATCAATAGTAGAAGGCCCATCTATAACATATATCATGTTATTCAAGAAGGGTAATCATCTCCTCATGTGAGACATGTGGAGTCATTCTCGTATGTCTATCCGAAAATATCCGAAATATGGCTGACACATCTCATGTCCCAGACACTCCATGGGGTGGTTGACTGGGGGATCAATGTGGGCGGCATATATGGCAGCTTCATGGGTCGTGTCTGCGTGTTTTTCTTGCAAAAAAAAAAATGCACCGGTGGGTCCACGTGATGGTTTTCCCAATCTGCGCACCGTGGGAGAACCCTAGATAACGACCGTGGGTTCCACGTGCGTCGTTTTGCATACGGAACCCCAATCCTCCCTGAAACAACGGAAGCCAAGCTGGTTGGGGCATATGTTCCGCTTCCAGCCTGAGGCTGGTGTTTTGGGATCAAGGTCACCAGCTAGATCTCAGTACGTAGTCAGAATTCAGTTCCGGCCATATGTACTCAGCATGCTCATGCGTTAAGAAAAAGACCCCAGTCTGCCCCAGAAAGGTCAAGTCGTCCCACAAGTTCCAATTCTCACAGGACAAGTCGCACGGATGGGCGCGAGTGTTTCGAATGGGAACTCCTCGTGCTCTTCAGTAACCAACCCTGTGGTCGTGGTTCTCCCTTCATCTGACTTCTGGTCATTTGACTCCTGCATCGTTTGCACGACCTGTCCCCCCCCGCGGCCGATCTTCGCACTTCAACTTCGACGCGTGCCGCCACGCGTGATGCCAGGTCCTCTTAACGCAATTCAAGAGCTGGATTCTCTGCAAACACTCCAAACACCCGTCAAGGCCCATGACGGCCGTCAATCTCTTCACATTCTGAGTCGAGTTCATGGATTTGGTAGGGGGAAACCAACCCTTTAAACACAAAGAGACATTAAGCACCATTGAGCAAGACGCGAGCAAAACCAAACCTCTGCCAGCAAGATTGACTCGTTTTGGCCAAAGGCTGTATAGAATCCTACAGCCAAGCTCCACATATGCACATCACATGCACATAACAGTCGTCTTTTTTTTTTCTGAGTCTTTAATAGCGTTGACTCACAAGTCTTCCTGCACCACCCGTATCGGGAATTGACTCCCTGACTCGCCCCTCGTCACGAGAGGGCTGACTCTTCCTGTCCATCTCATCAATGTTGGGGCACGGTCGTGAATCCCAAACGCTCCATGGGTCTTAGGTCTTCTGCTCAGGGTGGTCAGCTCAGGTCTGCCGCGGAGTCCATAGCTCTGAGGGAAAGGTCTTTGCTCTTGTCATGAATAGAGTTGCAAATCCAGCGCCGTGCAAAGGCACGGGGCGACGTGTTGCCCTCAGCCTCCAGTACTTCCACTTAAAATAAGGATGTTGACGATCTTTGATCTTTGAAGCCATATGAAGCATGTGGTACACTCGTGGCGAGATGATCTACCACTTACAGTAGATCCATGAAAATAGTGGCTTTCGATTGCTTTACGATGAGTCCATTCTCTACACATGTTTTCCTTTGTGAATTGACAGATCCACCCCTCCATCCCACGGAATCCGTTTTTGACCTGTGCATGTGTCGGTGACCGGAGGTTGGAGACGCTCAAGGTCGAGGGTGACGACGCGCCGCGGGTTAGGCCGGCTCGAGAGCGCCCGCGCCACTCAGACGCATTTCATCACCTCGTTCTTCTTCCTGCTCAAGCTCCTGCAGCCCAAGGGTAAACGCTTTGACAGAAGGACCCTAGGTCGCTGCACTGATTTGAAAGGTTCTTAAAGGCCCCTTGGCAGCATGGTGGCAGCTGTAGTCTGACCTGGGAAAATGCTTCGACCACCAATTCCCGGCTGAAGTTGGCCCACACGACAGATCACCCCTAAGCGTGAGTGGATATGTATATAGGTACCAGGGGGTACCATGTATGTATATATGGAATAACACATCACACATGAAAAAAGAAGATCTTGGGGGGCACCATATATATATATATATTTATCAGTACCCAAGCACTGGAACACACACACACACACATGTCTTTTTCTTCGGCTGAATAGGATCGAAAACAGGTCTTCAACTTCCCTAAAAGCACAGGAAGTTGTGCAGCGACGGGGGTCCGTATCGATTCATCGCCGTAGATCTATCGATGATCGATAGTTATGTCACATTGAAAAGAGCAACAAGAGCAACACCTCCAACGGAAGAACATCATCATTTCTTGATTCGCCCCCGCTTGAAGACAACTTTTGCAAACCTTTTGTGGAAGGGTCCGTGAGGGGCTTCACTCTGCGCTGGAGAGTCTCAGACCCAATCTTCCTCTTTTCTCCGACGCGTGTCCCTCGCATCGCGCATCATCTCAAGCCCGATCGCGACTCTGAGATTGGAGCTCTGATCACGACTAGCTGATCACGACTAAGCTGATCCTTTTTCACACGAACGGTTCTTCAATCGAATTCTTCAATCACTGGGAACATTGCGCGAGGTCACAGCATCTTCATCGTGGTCACGGAAGGTCTGGCCGGGAAGGTCATGACGTGTTCAGTAGCCTTTTGCAGCGGCAAGGCACTCCAAAGGCACCAGGCGCTGGAATTTCCAAGAGTTCAGAACTGAATCTCATCAACATCTTGTGTGATCTTGTGTGAACAAAATTGAACAAAAAAGTAATATACAAATGATTCAATCACAAGCACTTTGTACCGGGAATGATCACAACATCCCTGTGAGGCAACCCACTTCAAGAAAGCTGTCCACTGGGAAACAGAACACTGCGCAACATTGGCTTGCGGGTGGATACAGAACATCTATGACCCTGGCTGGGCCATGTTCAATCCTCTACAAGGAAAAGCTGAGTCACAACGTCTGTAAGAGTCGCCCTCAGAGCCATCGAGGGTTGTAGGTGGGCTTTGAGAACACATTGATCCCAAAGTCCAACGCCTCGAACGGCCATCTGCATGCACCTCAGGTTGGCCTTTAGCCAGGGCCTGGCTGAACGGCCTGGCGACTGTGCTGAGACGTCTCTGTATCTGAGCCTCAGGCATACCGCTCTGGGAGGAACACCAATTCGTTTGAACTGCTTCGCTGGCTGGTGGTTCGCTGGCTGGTACAGGAGTTCAAGATCTTCCCAGTCCCATAAAGAAAGAGCCCTCCCGCCATTGCATGTATGCTTAGCAGAAAGTCATGTAGAACGTGGTTTAAGAACAGCTAGTCAGCTAGTATGACAAGGATCGAGCTAATTTAGGTAAGACACTTCGTACATATACCGCCGGTGTACATGCAAACATAATTACTGTATATCCTATAGACTGACATGTGTTGATATATGGCTGGAGAAGCATTCTACAATGCATTCTACGTAAGATTTCAGGACTCAGCAATCTGGTGGAACCATCTTCATCCCCAACCTGAGCCATGCACCAAACAAATACCGCTCCAATCTCTGCTTCTGCGCAGCGCACATTCGCAGCGCAGCTGCGTGCAGCGCATGGGTGTCGCAAAGGGCTCCACATGGATCTATGGTCCCAAATGGTTCAAAGTAAGACTGACTTCCAACAAATGGCGCCTCGCCGCAACGCCAGCAGTGAGAAGTGGCACCTAGTCTATCATGTCTTTTGGAAACATGACTGGGGGGTGATGCTCTAACCCAGCCGCTGAAGGCATGAATTAAATATAGGCCGGCCTAGTACTGTTTAAGAAACACCTTGGTTGCAAAAGTAAGGGGCTAGCGGTTCTTTTACGGTATCGGTATACTACAAGTACTGTAGTATTTACCCACTATTGAATCGCTGTATCCATAAGAGAATGACAAACTCAGCTTATCTCAGCCAGAAGAGAAAATACGGAGGAATTGTCATGGTTAACGATGCGATCAAACAGCCTTGTCTTGTCAAAATCTTCAAAAGTTTTGGACCTCATGTTGAGCCAACAACACTTCAAGCCTGAAAGCCGCCCTGGCCATGTGGTTCCACTGTGTTTTTTTACAAACCGCCCTTTTTAAGAACATGAAGGACCATGTCCGTCTTCGACTCCAAACAACGTTTCAATCACGATCGTGTTTGACCCGCAGGTGTTTGGCCTGTAATTAGAAAGGCTGGTCCAGTCAAACACCTGTTCTTCTTCTTTCGGCCTCGCATCATCCGCTCAGCCAGAAGGTTTTTCTCACCCTCTGCGCCAGGGAAGGAGCTCGCTCACACGGGGAGCTCACTCACTTGGACGCCTCCAGGGCCTTCCAGGCCACATAGACGACCAAGGTCAAGTAGACGAAACAAATCGAGCAGGTCACTCCGAGATTTTCGCCTGGTCAAACGGCCGTGGTCGAGGGTCTACCGCTGCTGTCAACAAGATTAGCAAGAGGGTTCGTGTTGGGTGTATCCCATTCTGTAACAGCGGATGATGATGGTTAGTAGCAGGCCCAAGTGGAGCAAACCTACTGAAATTGGGACTTACCTCATCCACCAAATGTGATAAACGACGATTTACGGCCACTAGCATCACCGTCGATGTAAGTAAACCCTTTGAGGTATGAAGAACGTCCAAAGAAACACACCAAGAACACGATGCTCGCGCTGCCCTTGTGAGAAACTGATCCTCTGGTGCAATGGCCCCCCAAAACATCACAACGCCAGAACTGCCCATGTCAAGGGCCCAAGGGCCCATGGATGCCCATGGTCTCATAAACACATCGGTCGAGCAGTGAAGGTTTTGGGAACAAAAATGCCCGGATCCTCTTGGATGAACATCGAGACCCTTCCTTCTTCCGTCCGGGTCAACGAACGACGAACGCACCGGGAGTCAACGTCGGTTTCTGGCGCCCAGGACATGAAAGACGCCGACGGTGACAAACATTCACGCCGACCAATACAGGGTGCTTTTGCTTAAGATATATGTTTGTCTTTGTCAATCATCCGAAGTAAAAACCTATGAACATGGATGTGTAATGACAATATAACATCGATATGATAATATATATAATAAGTATAATATAATATTAAACGTGTATATATAGAGTATATACTGAAACCAAACAAATTAAAGTATCCAAAGTCTCAAGTCTAGCTTTGATTCTCCGTCTCTCCCTCCATGTCCCTACACTTCGTGAAGCCTCACTCACCACGAAGTGGAAAACAAACTGTGTCTAACAACAACGTTCCAGCAGTCACAAGACGGGGTGCGATCCATGGAGGTAGTCGGGGTGCCCAGAACATCCACTCACTTGGGGACGTTTCACACCACCCCGTATTGTGACTCCTGGTTGATTCTTCCAGTTGGGTCCATGTTCATGCATGTTCAACTGTTCCAAAACAGGGTCCATGTTCGTTCAACTTCTATATGTTCTTCATCCGGAGACGACCGCATGCCGAGGGCTGTCACCGCTCGCGGTCTTCCACCATCTGTCCGAACATCGTCGTTCCACTCGATGACTTGGCCGGCGGAGGTGGACGAACACAGAACCAACGAAGCAGAACGGTGTCGAAGTGGCTCTTGGTGTCAACCGATGGTGTCATTCATCAGATCGGGGCAGACTGGGACCCAAACAGAATCCTATTGGGCGGAAAGACGACTCTACACTAACAAATGGACAGTACTCTGGAAAAGATCTGATACATGATCTGAGAAACCCATCATGATTCGATAAACCCATGATCAACTGCTGTCCTTCTTGTGTTCGCTTCCGCAGCCCTGGGCCATTGACCTTTCACAAGAGTCCGTGGCCTTCCAGCTGCTGTAAGGCCAAGTAGATGTTGGCGCAAATGGTCAAGGACCTCAAGTGGCTTGACTTTGCATGCGCGGCAAGTCAAGTGAGTCAGAGCTACAGTCGCTCGCAAAAAACATACCCAAAAGTGCTGGAAAAGGAAGCCTGAAACACGACTTGTGGATACCTGCAGATTATCCATCGAACAAAAAACACAACAGTTGCTCCCGAGACTCATTTAGGGGATGGTCTGAACCTGGCCCAACAAAGCCACGATGCTGAGTTACTGCATGTTTTCTTTGGCTCGGCATCACTTCCGCAACGATCAGTGTCCATGGCACCATCCGCGACCATTCCGGACTCCCCCAACAACTGGTACCAGCACCAATCTCCAACTCAAAACCCTCTGCAGCGGTTTTTGAAGTGGGAAACTCATGTTGATGATACTGATTCTGATTGATATCTTGGGAATCTGTTGGGAGAGTCGGGAGATTAGAGCAAGACCATGTATAGTATGTTCAACATTTCCATATTTGTTTTGCCTACTTGAGCTAGTTGGGACATGTTGAACTGTCGCCGAGTGTGTTCAATTCGTGTGTTACCTTTGACATTCTCATACAACGGCTTTTCAGGCTCCAAATCGACATGCACAGACCTCTCAGTTTGTTCATCGACTTCTGCGTCTTAACGATCTTGTTTTTTGTTTGTTTCTTCAGCTGGTTTACTTTAGGCATACCGGACCCACGGCCATTTTTTCATGATGTGCACATGTATGTTTTTGTGGACCGGCGGCTCTACGGATTTACCGACGGCTCTAACCTTTTTCACCGATAGGGTTTTTCCAACCCCGGACACCGGTCAACTGAGATCCAGCGGTTTCGGACGCGGCAGCAGCGGATTCCAGTGGAAGACTCCACGGCAACAGCGGGCGAAGTCACATATGACAGCCAGCTCTTGCTCAACAGAATGCAACAACAACAACGCGCCGATCGGGTGGCTCGTCGCGCCTCCAATGACGTAAAAA